GCAGGGACATTCCCAGCTTTGTGATGCAGATGGACTTTTCTGCTGACAGCTGTAACATCCAGGTATGGACAGGAAATATAATGGGTCTCTAACTTCCTGTATATATATATATTTTTTTTAATTTGTATATATATATATATATTCATATTTATATATATGTATATTTGTATATATATCTATATATATATTTATACGTATAATTATATGTATATATATATCTATACATATGTATATTTATATGTATATATATATATGAAAATATACAGTATATATATATATATATTTTCATATATATATATTGGCTCATAAACCCTGATGCCGACCTCTCCTGTTTCCTCCCTGGACCAGATTTCAACTGGTGCTTATAAACGACTGGTATATGAGGTCCCCTCTGGGAAACAGGTCACAGAGCAGTCCCACATCGACAGGATCACCTGGGCCTCGTGGACCAGGTGAGGTGCAGGTTACTTTGAGGAATGAAAAAAAAACTGTACAAGACTTCAGTAACAACCGTCAGTCATGTCTCTCTGACTGCAGCGTCCTTGGAGACGAGGTCGTTGGGATCTGGTCCCGTAACTCTGACAAAGCCGACGTCACCTGTGCCTGTGTGTCACACTCAGGCCTTAACATTGTCACAGGTGACGACTTCGGGATGGTCAAGTTGTTTGACTTTCCGTGTCCAGAGAAGTTTGTAAGTATTACTGGTCAGTGTTGTTGTCGGGTTGCTGAAGGTCAGTGCTGTCAGTGTTGGTCCACTGTGGACTGGTCGTACGTAAAGTCAGGTCTTCAGTTTGAGAACTTATATATTAACTAGGTTTAATATTATGTATAAATTATGGACAGAAGATATCACTGGATCATTTTGAAATCGTTCCCAGTTTGACCTATCTGAAAAACTATCTGAAGAACACGAGCACCCCCCTGTGGTAGTTAAGCTGAAAGACACTAACAAAGTTTTTGGCCTTTTTGGAACACAAACAACACGAAAACTATAGAAAGATTAATATTAATTAAAATGAATTAATATGGTTATTTGTGCTATTTTATTTAGATTTTTGTGATTTTTTAAATTATTTTTACATTTGATTTATTTTTCGCAATCTTTCAATTTTATTCCATTTTACCTGGTTCTTATACAACCTGTTACATCTGCTTATGGTTACATTGACTCATAACTGACTGTATAGCTGACTCTGTGACTTTCCATGTTATCATGCTGTAAAATCATAAAACTATTCCTCTCAGCTGACTCGTTGTGTAAAATAAATATGTGTTTTTTAGGCCAAACACAAACGTTTTCTGGGTCATTCTGCTCACCTGACGAACGTTCGCTTCACCAATGGAGATGGCTTTGTTGTCAGCGCCGGAGGAGACGACAGGAGGTACGATGATCCCCGATAATAAATCCCTGAGTTCCCCAGGTGAGATAATGATCATAAATGTGTTCTTCATTTGTTTTCATGTGCTCCATAGCCTCTTTGTGTGGAGGTGTGTCCACGCTCCTCACTGAACGGCCAAACGTCTGACCCAGCATGGCTCTCCAGAGAAAAGAATCAGATACAAGACATTTCTTTAGAAAAAAAAAAAAGTTGAAACACCAGACCTGGCAGCTTGTACAAGAGGTCATGTGGTGATTGGAGTCACTGCCTCAAAATTTGGTGCATGCATGTGTGGAAGGCTCATCGTCACTGCACCACATCACCATCATGGAGGAAAATGAGTCAAACACGGTGTGTCCATGACTTCATCTGTGTTCATCCCCCTAGTGGCAGTTCAGACACTCGACAGGCCTGTGTTACTAACAATGCCATTTTTTAAACAAATCATGTAGCAAACTGAAGTAGCCTTAATCTGTGTGTTCGGTTCATGAGGGACTTTTTTTTATACTGCCCTTGTCCATTTTTTTTTTTTTTTGGATCATGTGTCCATTTGTTTCTGTTTTTACTGGTAATTCCAAATCCTGTGGCCTTCCTCCTGAATGTAACATCCACTGTTATATTCTGGATGTCAGCATGCCAAAGCATACTATGCACTGTTCACCTGACCTGGTCACTGTGTTTCCCCGACCGATCCTTCACACTTTATTTAACTGGCTGTGCTGTGGACAGGTGAACCCCGGACCGACCTCAGCAGTGTTCCCATCATGACATGTTCACGTCTCCTCGTCTTCATACTCATGTCCTAATATGTGTGTGGTTATCGGGTGTGCATGGCTTAAGTGGAAGACAATCTGCCCAAACCAAATTCCTCAAAAAAAATTAAAAAACAAATTTAAGAAAACCGTTGTAAATGAAAATTTTCAAAGTACTGTTGCAATTCTTTTTGGTCACTTTTCAGTGTGCTGCTATTGTATGTACTGTATTAATGTGGCATTTATTGAACGGTGTGACTGTTTTTAACTGTGAGTCAATGTCGTGTGTAAACAGATTATACTGCTCAAATGGAATGTTTTACCAGAGGAAATATAAAAAGTGCAAAACATTTGCTCAGTGTATTAGTACTAACGATGAAAAAGATGTTGCTGCACATTTTTGATTTTCATTACTCCACTGTAAATATCATTTGTAGATATTCTTTTTGTATATTTTTTTGTGAGATGTTTTCTTAAATTCCACTTTAATAAAAAAGGCGATCATGTCCAAAATGAAAGCTGTTCTTTCTTCTCAAAACAAACAAAAAAAACCAAAACAATACAAGGGACTTGAACCCATCAGTCCCTGGGACTGCACACTGTGTCACTCTCACTGATCTCAAATATTCTGTGCCAACCTGTGTGGCACTCTTCAGCCACTCCTGACTTTTGTCACTGAATGCCACAATTTTCATCAACAACATCACAACTTTATTGGACAATAGCTTTTTTCATATGCTTTATGTTCTATTTACATATTTACATACATATGAGCAATAATTGGACATTGTAAATCAGCATTTGTTTATCATGATAAATAACTGATGCAGGTGTGTTCACGATCATTAATCAATACCTCTGCTGTTCTTTCACTTCAGGTCACGCTACACTAAAAAAGCCATGTTTATCTGTATTTGAGGTTAAAAGCAACCAAGAAACATAAAATTCACATTTTTTTGGTACACACTTTTAAATTATACAATAAATTAGCAAAATGAACACAATTACTTGAAAATAAAATTATTTGTTGACACGCTGAGAAAGCTGAAGACTTATCCCTGTGTTAGTAGATGTTGTGTTGTACTTGACACGCTGAGAAAGCTGAAGACTTATTCCTGTGTTAGTAGATGTGTTGTACCCACTAGGTTGGTAACTGGTTTTCATTTTAACACAAGCGAGGTCATAGTTTGATGGAGAACGAAGTGCCACAGGAGCATCCGTGATCAGCCTGAGGGTTCTTCATTATTTGGAACGAGGCTCTTATCAGCTCGTGGCTGAAGTCCAGCGTGGATCCTTTCACAAACTCCATACTGTCCTGGTCCACAATGACCCCGACTCCTCCCTGCTCAAACACTCTGGTAAGGATGGGACACAGTTTTTTTTTTGGTTTTTGGAGTGAAAAGGCAGCCAGTAATGTCACTCAGTAAATCCTTACATGAATTGGTAACTGGAACTGGATTTCATGGCGGTTTACCTGTCATCTTCATTCTTGTTCTTTTCCACAGAAAACTTGTACTGGAAACCAGAGCAGCCTCCTCCTTCTACAATTATCCTCAGGTACTCCCCTTTCTTCATGATCTCACCTAATCTCTGGGTTCAAGAGAAAGAAAATAATAAGAAAAAAACAAATTAAACTACTAACTAAATTGACAATTTTATTTACAGAATTTATTTTTATCATTTCTAACAGAAGTGATGCTTTTAAAAAAAAAGTATATTATCCATTGATATTAATTGCTGTTTACAGCAAATTATATTTATAAGGAATTCCCTAAAACATAGGTCTGTGTGAACTTTAATTATACGGTTTATGAGGACAAGGTAATGAATATTATTTTTGATAGCTCTATGTATCAATGTAGGTAATTAGATGCAGACATGATCTCATACATTAGAAACTAACCCTGCAAACAAAAACTCAAGCTATGTATAGACACAAGACCGAGTTTTGGCTGACCTTCACACACGAGTCAGTCAGGTGGACCTTTTCTTCTGATGGCCCTGACAGCGGTGTCTTCTGCTGAGTTGAGGCGCTGCTGAAGCGCTGAACTCCCGCAGTGAGTTTTGATGGCAGTTGTTGTGACTGCTGGTTAACCCCGAAGGTGTTTAAATGACTTAACGATCTGTAAATGATTCAAGAGTGATTTAACTGTCAGGTGATTGTAGAAAACAAGGACTTTTTTTTACATCGCTGCCCTGGGTGCTAGCTTGACACATAGCTGTAGCGGCTTGCTAACACACAATTTAAAATACACAGCTGTTTTAATAAAATAGTCTTTCAACACTTACAAAGCAACTATGAATCGTTCATGCTTTTATACATGATATAAAGTAGATTAATGTTACCTAGTCAGGCTGAACATTTTAGGCTTTGACGCAGTTATCATCGCTGCTCGTACGAGTGACATATTCATAACAGTGCCGACATCCGCCGTCGCAACAACAGTTGGAATTTCTCGAGCTGTAATTGGTTTAAATGATTGTCAGTCAAATGAGGATACGCCCACACATTCCAAAACGACCTGTGTTTCCTGTCTGTTGTGACGCATTACGCTGTGACGGGTAAAATGGTATTTGGGTGCCCTTATCTTCGTCTGCCAGGCACAATTTTTGTGTGCTGTTATTTTGTTCCAAATAGGTTTTAGAAATTGAATGTATCTTATAACATTTGTTGAAAATGTTTTCGTTTAATTCATCTCTTGAATTGAACATAACAGAGGAAATGACGAGAAGTAAATGTTGTGAACGTTACCTGACAGACTTTTTTCGGGCGACAAATACCACCAACAACTATAAAAAGGCGTTACCAGAATCTCGTGATAGAACGACATAAAGTGGCAGGTCGTAGGCGGTGCTGTATCAAAGGCCGTTTGGAGCGCATCAAAGGTATAAGGTTTTTGATTCTTTTGCGTCACTAATTTTTAGTTCATGTCTCAGGTTTTAAATTTGATGTTTTCAACAAATTGTATCTGGTTGTCTTGCAAAAATCTTCAAATTCCCGATACAATAGGAGGATCTAAGAAAGTAAAACAATACGTCGGGTGGTTGAACACTGTGTACTGACTGAAGACAAAGATTGTGAAGTTCTGCGTTTATTTATAGATTTGGTTCTGACGTATTCTACATTTTAGGATTACATTAAGGAAGAAGACCATGGAAGTTCGTGTCGGACTCGTCGTTTTACTCTGCCTGATAGGATTCAGCTGTGCTGTGCCAGTGAAATTCGCAGATTGCGGTAAATCTTTCACTTCACTTCAGTGTTTATCAGATGTTTTGTTAGCTTTAGGGAAACCTGAACACCTACAAGTGAACACAAACTTTACTGTGAATGCGTGAGTGATATCTCCGTGGAAGTGATTGTGTTTGAATTTTCTTTCTCTCACTTTCTTAAGCATAGTCTTAAATGTCAAACCGTCATTGTTTTTTTTTTTCTTCCTTTTTGTTTCATGTCATTAGCTCCGTCCCCCCCACACACACACTTTGTTCAGTGCTAATTGACATCATTGAGTGTGTTTCACAACAGCGACATTGTCGTGATTCAGTAGCAGGTGTAGCTCATTAATGCTGACACTGTTCTGTTCTTGTCAGTCATGATGGTCTGATGGTGAATCAGCAGCCACTCTGAAACTGACTGAGCCAAGTGGAACTTGGTCATAACCTTTCATGACTAACACTTTTTCCAGCAGTGATCTATCTAAACTGTTGATGGTGCTCTGCTGTTAGAATCACATATTTTGCCTCAAATCTTCATCTTTGTTCACTGTTTCCTCCCCTTACAAGATGAAAACTTGCAGCTTCTATTGAACCATACTTTTATTGTGAGGGTGTTTGCACAGTTGCTGCATAGTTTTGAAATCGCGTCGCCCATTGAGTGCAAATATCGTGGTTAGTTGGTGGTATTTCACTTCTAAAGCCAACAATGGTGTCCACACAATACTTTCACATGACTTCAGATTAGGGTTAATCTAATCTATTAGATTCTCACTCACTGCAGTGAGTCTACACCTCCACTTACGTTTAAGTATACATTTGCACTGAAGATTTAATAATTGTATTTAATTTTTGTTTTTTTGGTTGACTTCCACAGAATAGGATTTTTGTGTGAAATGTGTGCAAATGTCATTTAAATAGTTGTTTTGTTTGTTTTTTTTGGGGGGGTGTTTACTGCTGATGAAAACCCATCAACTGAAAACAATACATTTTAAATGAAAACTTCTGTTTTGTTTCAGGCTCCACTTCTGGCAAAGTGTCCACCGTTGACATCAGTCCCTGTGTCACTCAGCCATGCCAGCTCCAGAAAGGACAGTCCTACAGCGTCAACGTGACGTTCAGCAGTGGTGAGTGGAGTGAATATACCGCTAATGTTGTGGCTACATAATGTATCTAACGCACAACTCCTCAAACTTTTCCAGCTGTGGCGAGCAAGACGAGTAAGGCCGTGGTTCATGGTATCATCGCCGGCGTTCCCATCCCTTTCCCCATTCCCATCGAAGATGGCTGCCAGTCTGGAATTCAGTGTCCAATCCAGAAGGAGCAGTCATACAACTACCTCAACAATCTTCCCGTGAAGTCTGAATATCCATCTGTAAGTCTCTTCACCGACAGGGCTGTCTGACTTGGTGTACAGTATTTTTGGTACTGAAAACTTTAAAGACTGTTGTAATTGGAATTTTAGAAAGACTGTGATGGGGTCAGCTGAGGACTTTATTTTACTGTACATACACTGGCCTATGGGGTGGGGGGCAGCCTAACCTTAAACACAGTTTGAGTTCTGCTTTTTGTTTTAGTTGCTGACTAGTGTATTTTAATGTCTGAACATTGTGCGTCAACTGCTTGACTCGACTTCCTTCACATTTTACAGATGAAGCTTGTTGTGGAGTGGGAGCTGAAAGATGACAACAAAGAAGACTTCTTCTGCATCAAGTTTCCAGTCCAGATTGTGAACTAAACATTGTACCTCCCGTTTGTTTGTTTTTTTTAAAAAGGGACTCGGCTCCAGTAAAAAGTGAAAAATGAACAACTCAAGATCATTTTATTCATGCAGATGATTTTAAGATGCAGGAAACTACCACATTTGCAAGACTTTGCCGCACTTATAACATGAAATACAAGGTGGGGGGAAAAAAAAAAAAACTAGGTTGGTAATAGGTTGTTTGTTGGTCCCTCAGCAGTCCAATGAGAAGTTGAAATGTTAATGTGGCTAATATCTGTGTCAATGACTGCCTCATTCCACTAAGATGCAAATAGCTTTGCTGGCTGCTGTGTAGTCGGAGAAGATGCACATAGTTAATTTTCTACAAATTTTGTAATTTCTTACTGACCATGTGCAATTGTGAAGAATCTAATAAAATTAGTGTGTACACAGACTATACTCGGATGCTTTGGATTTCACTGTGTTCAAACATCATCTATAGCTAAAACAGCATCATTCTCAAATGTGACCTCATTTCAGTGTTTTAAACTTGGAACCTTGTTTAAGGGTGGTGTCAGCACTTCTAGGTTCAGAAGTAATGTTTTGTAAGCTAAAATATAACACCAGATGTGGTTCTGAGATTTTATTCATATTCTGTTTTCTGAGCAAAGAGCAGCAAGTTCAGCTAAAGAAAACTTCAACTGCTATCACACAAACAAAACAAACAGGAAAATCAGCCAGAGTATGAACTTGTAAATGTTGAGGCCAAGAGCACACAACAGCCATATCTTTACAGCACAGGTTTAAAATTCACATTTAAGACGCACGGGTTGACGTATGCTGCATAAATCTAAAAAACTTTAATCTGAAAAAGAAAAATCTGACTGAATCAAAGTAAAACTGGTGCATTTGTACTTTGAACAAAAGGTCCAGCGTTAAGGCAATAAGTTGCACAGAACACAGCTTTGGCTCTTTGACGGCGACACCTGCTGCATGAGAACTAGCACAGCATATTTGTGCAGCCATCAGTCGTCAGATCACAGCTCAAGTGCAAAAGCAGGGCAGACAAGAACAGGGAAATTTCAACTGTGTTGCAACTGACACCAAATCAGGGTTAAGAGCAAGTGTGTGTGTGTATATATATATATATATATTTCTCCGGCCCTTTTGTTTGTGAAAACACTTGTATCATGGTTATTTTATTATGAATAATTTCAGTTTACCCTTTAGTATTGCAGTATCTCTTGGTACTAATACTTAAATATTGACATAGTGGAAGTGGGTCATGCAAGCATGAAGTTTTTCATTTGTGTGAAAGGTCTACAAATCTAGAGGCATGTTGTAGTGTTTGGTTGTATTTGCTCATCCTCAGCTTTATACTTGTAACTAAGCAAAACTAACCAGAGGCAGGACATCGACGGTGATGCCTTCACTGTAGTAGGAAAAACTCGGAACGCATTAGTTTGATGCAAATAAGTTGTGCTTCACACTCAGAACCACTTGGCAAATAATTAGCATGGTGGCAAATGCCTAGAGAGAGAGAGAGAGATGACACGTGACTAGCTACTGCTTAAACATTTGAATATCTTTGCATTTTTATGATGTGGAAATTGTGCTTACCCGTTATTTCAAGACCAGAATATTTATTGACCACCAGCTAATTTTAGGAACCCTCTGACAGAGACTCTACCAACAGCTGACTGAGGCGTGCCTGGTTTTGTCGTCATGTATTTCTAATTGTTTCATGTCTCATTTTGCCCTTTGTGTGTGGTGTTTGTGAAAGACTAGATTTGACCCAGTGACTTTTTCTCAATTTGGAAAAAACAAGTGTACAAAAAACGACCAGCATTCTGTCCACTTTCTTATCGTCCATTTTGCTTCAGGCTCTCCAGGCGCTGAAGCAGAGCGTTTCCAAAGGCTTCCCTGTAGCCTGGGCTTAGCGTGTCCAGCAGCGAATAAACAGTCTCGTGATACTGGTTGCTTAAATCCTCGTTGACCTGATCGAAGGCGTAGCCTACCACCTGTCAGAACAGAAGTTACACAATTACTGCGAAACGCCACATTTACCTTGTATCTACACAGAGAAACCACAGCATCCACAGTCTCACCCTCAGTCCTGCTTCTGTGAGCTCCAGACAGTATCTGTTCCCCTCTCTGGTTTCCACGTTTATATAGGCCACATCTAAAGCGCTCGCCAGATTTTGCGACACGTACATTTGAGTGACGGCAAAGAGGACGTCGTTGACCACGGCCTCCGCTTCTAACCTCATGTCCTTGACGTCGCCAAGCACCACGCAGTCGTCGTCAAACGAAGGGACGATGGACTCCTCTGGTTGGCAGTCGACCTCCATCACCTGTGACAGACAGATATCAGTAACCGTCAGTTCCCTATAACATAAGTGTAACATTTACAGACATGTTACACCTCATAACCTCAGTCAGTCAGTGGGTCTGCTGTCCTGGGCCCACGGTAGAAGGGTGCCCAGAACAGGGGCCTGATTAAATTATAGAAAAGTGTTGATCCAGGTGCAGGGGGCCTCAGCTAAGATTACCTTGTCCCAGGCCCAGGAAAAACTGTCAGTGGCTCTGGGTACATGGGTAAAATTAGGTCAAAGGACAACAATGATGACTGAGGCAGAAGTAAAACTGACCGCTATTTTTGTTTTAAGAGGAACTTGGCCACCACATTAGGCTCACTTCAATGTTTCTGTGAACTTCCTCAAGCCTAATATAGATTTAAAAAAAAAACCCGACATTAACTGTGTTAAACCACTCACACCTGGTCCAGTTCTACAGTTCATCAGCTCTAATGCATTTGTTAAACAGGCAATTCTGTGACTCTTTATTTCCTTTGTGTCAAGTGTAGCCTGTAGCTTTGTCAGCATATCGTGTGATTGGTTACTTGAAAATGATCAAATTTTACTTAATCGGTCAAAAAACGCTCTTCTTATTCACTGCAACTTTTTGTCTATGCGACAGTGACAGACAGATCTATTAAATCTCTACTAGGTGGCAGCAAATTACGTTACGTATACGTTTTGGGATGTTTTCGTTTTATTTTCGTTCTAATGTAAAAATATGTTTAAAAAAATAAAAATGTTTAAAGGATTTCCCACTATAAAAAAGGCTGACCGAGGCAGTCCAAGAATAAATATACATCTTAGTAAGGAGTGACAAATAGTTGTAGTGCTATAGGGACACATAGTGGTCATGGTAAGTATTACAAAAGTTTATTAGTCGTCATCTCCAGATTCAACTTACACAGTACTCGACATTCAGAGCCATACTGATGATAGTAGACTGGGTGTAGATACATCAACATCTGTATGAAGAGATACTTAGTGCATCCTTTCTTCTATAGTGGACCATTACACTGTACCACAGCTATATCATAGTGGTTTAATGACTGCTGATCAAAATTGTTGTAATGTGTCTGCTTCAAAACTACATTACATTACAATCAATACAAATGTACATTATTGCCTGACTTCTTCAAGCAGTATTCACAATGCCTGTATCTGGAATAATACTGCATGAAATATGTATGTTGATGTGAGTGTTCCAGAGGGAAATGATCACAAAACATGGGAGCGGGTAATAAAAGCAAAGATCAAAGACAACGATGAGAAATAAATCAACAACTCCACCTGCTGCTATTATTGTTCAGATGCAATTCTGTTGAGACATTCTGTCGAAACACAAGTTAAAAAGATAAAAGGATGCCATCACATCAAGGCAAGTCTTAACCCCGAGGACTTCATCAGTAGATTAAAGCCAGGGTGGGAGGGGGTTACAGAGATTCTGGGATGTGAAGGACAGCCAAAGGAAATAGAAGTAGGACACATTACTGTGCCTACCTAAAGAATGTCAAGAAGAGAAAGGAGGCGAGGCAATAATGCAGCACTACAGTTGCCGACTGCCATCGTTCACCATCACTAACTTAAACAAAGTTACAAGGATGACATCAAATGCAGGCAAGTTTTCATCAGATTCCTTCAGTATTACTGTTGGTTTTTGTAACAATTCTTATAGGCAAAAAAAGAGTACAGTCTGCATCAGTTGTATGATCGACAGGCAATTGTTCAATACAGGAAAAAACACTGTGTCATTCAAACAAAAGTATCTTCTTATATGCATCTCTCACCATGCTTTGTTATTTTTTTTCTCCTAAATGGGATCTATGTTGAATAAATTCACTGTTTACTGAATCTGTATATATTTGCATTCTCATAACATTCACATTGAGGTATTTTTATAACCAGTACGCCACTTCAAGTCTACTTTCACTTCTTTACCTGTATGGAAAGTATGGACATTGTATGTAAGTGTGTGATTTCTACTTTTTGTGAGTAACGATTGGCTCCAACTTACGGTATCAGTATAAATGGTATGTGATAAAATCCAGAATCACTGATATTCCAGTAATTTTGACTAGCAGGAGTTGTTAGTAAACAAAGTAGTACCTTGTATTAAATTGTTATAACTTTTTTAAAATCTGAATATGTTGTTTTTCTTAATTGTCTTTGACAAACAATAACGTTTTTTATTTGTCAAATTTTAGCCTGATCAATATATTTATAAATATGTTGCACATTTTAAAAAGGCAGATTGACTCGTCTATTTCCACACTACATTGGATTGTAAATCGCGAAATGAACCAATTCTACATTTCGACGATTTCAACTACAGAGGTTTAAAGTAGATGAGCTCAGCTGTAGCCTACTTTGCCAATACACTTTTAATAACATGGTAAAAGCTAAAACCAGTCGGGCGTTTCCGGTTTACTACCGAGTCTTCACTTTTCAAACAGACAAACACATATGTTTATTTAACGCAACCCACGTCAATAACGTTAATAAACGTTAGCTTTTAGTTAAAACGTCACTGCAACGTCTTGAATGATTTTTTTTTTTACTTTGGCTAGCTGAGGGCAAGACAAGTCAGAGTATTGTCATTAAAGACACAACTGTGAGACTTAATTTTTAGTATTATGTAACTTCTCACACAAGTTTTCCCATCTCTTACTTTAGATCACAAACAGTTGCTGTTTTTGTTTTAAACTACAGGGGGATTATCAGTCAAGTCACCGCTATGATGTTGCACAGTAATCTAACGCCCTGAAATGCACAAAAGTCTCTCGAATACTTAGTTTGCAAAACTAACTAAGTATAAACTTGCATAGGTTTGAACTATGGCAAATGCAATCGCCTCTCAGCTGCCAAATAAACCAGAATCATTTTCTATTCAAACTGCGTGTAATTTGCTCACCTCCTCCGCTGCTTGTATTCTTCCGGCTTGTAGAATCTCCCAACCCCTCTGTATGCGAGGTTGGGTCAAATGAGCCACACCTCCAGTCACACAAGCGTTCCACCCTCCAAAATAATAATATAATTTGTTCACTAGCAGTTAGTTTGTAGCTATTCAATTTAGGATCAAAAACTGATTCTATCTGAAGAGTGACCGGCACATTTACGAATACGTTGTGTCATGACGTCATTGCTAATGCTTTCCCGTGTGCGTGTGGGTTCAGGCAGCTGCGTTTACCCGTACCAGAAACCCGACTCCTTTTGCGCATGTGCGGTAGTGCATACGCCTTCAGTTTCCGGTACCGGCGGGAACGAATGTAGGTCCTCACGCAACAACGAATATTAAAGAGATTAAGGTAATTTGTTTAAATAATTTCATAATATAGTAAATAAGGTAAGCGTATTTGATTGACAACATGAATAATACAGTTAAAATTATAAGTAAGTTCAAATATAAATATGGCAGGTTTTGTTAACAATAAGAAATAAGACAGTCACAACCATGAATCAGAATAACGTTATTGATTCCCAATTGGCGAAATTCTTTCATAGCACAAACTCACAAACGCAATAAAAACAAGAGAATCGTAGCACTCCCAAAATAACAAATCTACAGAGCCAACATTTCGAAAAATAAAAGCAAATAAATATAAAAACACGTTCTAATCTATCCCTCTTATTCATAAATTCCCCTTGTGTTTTATTACATCCAAAAGACGAAGTCTAACCTAAAAATAAATTCGTAGTTTTTAAAATCTAAATCATTACAGGAAGCAGACGCACTGCCGCACATGCGTGGAACAAATCGGGCTACCGTACGGTTCGGGTAGTGACGGTGCGGAGTCATGAATGTGTTTGTAAACAACGTCAGAAGGTAACTTGAAGAGCTGCTATAACATATTTATTGTATTCCTCAATGTCATCATTGTTATCATGTTCCGATAGTTCACATATATTTACAGCTGCTTGCGGACGTGCGTGTGTCTTGTAGTGTAAAAAAAAAACTTGGGCATAAGGTTGTTTTTGAGGATAACAGGCAGGCTAACTAGCCGCTAGGCGCTAATGTGTCCTCAGCTCATGTATGTTACGGATGGACTAATAGTGATAACTAGCCTCATACTAGCCGGCTAGTTAGCTTCATGACATGCTTTTGTTAAGCAAACAACAGTCCGTCTAAATGCCGTCCAGTCTACTGACTAAAGATGACAGTTCTGCTTATTTACACAGAGGGTTGGGGAGATGTTGAATCACTTATCTGTGATGTGTTCACTCTGATTTTGTAATTGCCTCTGTGTAGTTAATGTTACTCCAAACGGAGTTAATATTTGATGGCAGTGACACCGGACAATTTCTGTTGATCGTTATTTCGACGCCAGTAAGTTTTATTAACCACACTTCTCTTATTACACAATTTAGGTATTATTTTGGTGTTACTGTGGTATCCAATGTGTTGAGCCTCATGTTGTGCCAAGTGTCAGATTTCAAAAGGGGCACCATATGTCTGTTTCCTGTAGGCGCAGCAAACTGGAGTCGGACCATTTTCCACACACATCACTGAGTGTCAACACATCCTCCACCGTGTCCCCTATCTTGGGACATGAGGGATCCTTCAACTCAGGATTTATCCATGTCTTTAAATCAGCAGGATGATACCTCAGTGAAACCAGCGATTGACTCTGAGCTGTTTTTCTAGCTGTAGTATCCCACTGTGGTGCTACAGAATTTGCCCTTTCCTATCTGTGTACTGTACACCTGTTGAGTTAAGATGCCTTGGCCATTTTCGGAGTCCATCAAGAAGCGTGCCTGCAGGTACCTTCTGCATCGGTACCTTGGGAACTTCCTGGAGGAAAAGCTGAGCTTGGATCAACTCAGCTTAGACCTCTATCAAGGCACTGGGTCACTTACCCAAGTGCCATTAGACAAATGGGTATGTTTATTATAGCTTGTTTGTTATAGCCTATATTGTATAGAGAGAAAAAAATCAATTCATTTTAATAGGTATACTAAATATGTTTGGAAATAAGAGAAACCTCTTTAATATGTCTTTCTTTTTAGTCTCTTAATGAGTTACTGGAGACAGCAGACGCTCCATTTGAAGTCACTGCAGGATTCATACAGACCATCTCTCTGACAGTTCCATGGGCATCACTGCTACAGGAAAACTGTGCTCTAGAAGTCAAGGGGTTAGAGATGGTTCTCAGGCCACGACCAAGAATGGGTACTGACTTTCTTTTAGAACATTTTTTTTATTAAACTCAGGGTGGTGGTAGTGTACTGTAAATAAAAAAATGCCTCTTCGTTCCAGCCTCTGGTGTCGAGCCCATGTACTGGTCCAGTTTCATGACAAGTAGCCTGCAGCTCGCCAAAGAATGCCTCAGCCAGAAACTCACAGATGACATGGGGGAGAGTTTTCAGCCCTTTGAGGGATTGGAGAAGTTTGCAGAAACAATAGAGACAGGTGATCTTCTCATATGACTTAGTTCATGGATGTAATTGGATTTGTCCTTTGAAATCCAGATGTTAATATTTTTGTCATCCTACTACATCCTATTACAGTTCTGAGAAGAGTCAAAGTGACTTTTTTGGACACCGTTCTTAGAATTGAACACATTCCGGAAAACTCAAAAACTGGAATTGCACTTGAAGTACGGATCAACAAGTAAGTTTTACCATTTGGAGAAATTGCTGATGAAAACATTACAAATTTTGAAGAAGATTTATATTCCTGTTCTTAAAATACCGTTCTTGACACCACCCATCCCAGGATACTCGTATACTTGTGTGAGCAGCCCACTTGACTTTGCTCTGTTGTTGTTCCCAGCATTGTTTACTGTGATGAAACCGGGGAAGAAGGTTCCAGCGTGAATGTGCATCAACCAACTACATTTGCACATAAAAACCTTCAGATGGAAGGTGTCACGATATTATGGGATGAATTTTCCGATTCATCCCGGTCAGGTGGTAAATCATCTTCCACACCAACAGTGAGTTCAATGTTATATATATATATTTTTAAACATAGCTTTTAAACAAGTCAAAAATATGGAGCTTTATTGTGTATACATTTTTATGTTGTAGGAAACTGAGCCCAAACTGTCCCCGAGCTGGAATCCCAAAATTATATGTGAGCCCCACCCTCAGTTCACAGAGACTTTTTCTGCAGCAGCACCATTTGAGCCTGTGCAGATTGGAAGCCTTGGTGGTAAAATCGAGTTGTCCCTGACTTTTAAAAACAACCCTTCTATGCCTGGACCAAAGGTAATTTAAATCATTCTGCAATACTGTATAACTCTCTTCTTTTTAAATGTTTAAAAGTTCATCATTTAGTATGGAAATGGTCATGTACTTCATGAAGTCCTTGTCTTTCCAGCTTGATGTTGTTGGACATGCGGACACATTGGTTTTTCTGCTGTCTCCACATCAAGTTCATCACCTGCTGGATTTGTTTGGGGCTTTCTCTGGAGGAAGTAAGCATCACTTTAACTAAGTTTATAATGACACAAAACTAGTCAAAGAAAAACACAAGCAAGACAGAATAAGTATGGCTGTGTGACTGCAGGTACACAGGACTGGGCCAAGGACCGGAAGAGTCGACCCATACAGCAGGAAGATGAATACCGACTTCACATGGAGCTGAACCGTTGTCTGAAGAAGGACACCGCTGGGCCTGGAACAGACCCTGACCTCTTTGACAGTGAGACTACCAGAACTGTGTCAAGTCGAGGTTAGGCTCACACTCTCTCTCTCTCTCTCTCTCTCTCTCTCTCTCTCTCGCTCGCTCTCTCGCTTCCTCTCTCTCTCTCACACACACACGTTTTTACGTAATCATTTCTTACCAGTTAGTTTTTGGTTCTTTTTAATAAAAAATGGTCCTTTCCTTTATTTCTGGTGGCTGGTGTAGATGATGTGTTCTTCTCCATGGCTGACATGGACATGTCTCATAGTTTGTCATCACTGCCTCCTTTGGGGGAACCACCAACTGTTGACTTGGATTTGTCACTTAACAGCAACTACTCTGCCTCCCCAGGAGACTCTCCCTCTGGAAATGCAACAGTAAGTGTAAAAGTCACAGAAGTACATTGAACTAACACGTAGGTGAGTGTATGGCAACACAGTGGCGTGGGTATGTTACTGTTCATTGAGTGAGTTAGGAAGTATTTTTGTTTTTAGCTGTTGAAGTGCAAATCGTCCAAATAAATAATTTAGCATATTTCTGGCAATGTGTCTCCATTAGCAGGCGCTGTGGGACGAGTACATGGATGTACCACGACAAAGGGAGAGACAATTGAATGAAACACTTGTCCAGACACGGGGTTCACAGTACACTCATAAACTTCTGAGGCAGACCTGTGAGTAGCTCACTGTACTTTTATACATGTACAAATACAAGTATTTTGTTTGATATAATATTACTTGGTTTTGGTTGCTCATTGCAAAAACAAAAAAAAGTTTTTTCTGTATTTCCTGTTTTCAGCACATCCTTCTAAAACCCATGGCAGTGAGTCCAGACCAGAGCTGGTGTTGAAGCTGACGCTGGACAGCCTGGCTGTCTCTGTCCTCCACATCGACCCACTGCCAGCACCAGATGCTGCTCCCAGTCCTCTTCATCCTATCGCCGCACACTTCTTCAGCATTGTTGGCCCAGGCCAGCTTTCCTCAACTGCTTTCCTTCAGTCTCGGGCAGTGTTCAATCAAGCTTGTCCTCATGACCACCTCAGGTGCAGTTCACAGATGTTTTTTTCCTTATATTTCCCGGTGCTTGTTTTGATTTGTTGTTTTAATTTCTGTAAAGCATGTGAAAGACTGAAGCTAAAAAAAATGACGGCATTTTTTTCCCAGATTTGTGGGCCAGGGTGTGAAGGTGACCTATGAACACTGTCAGGGCTCCAGTTTGCGAACTTTCAGCACTGACGTGACTCTAAACCAGCTGGAATTCCTAGAATGTCTCTTTCCATCTGAGGCTGTCGTTGGTGGATCCCAGCGTGGTATTCAGTACACTGAGGTGAGAGTGTCAGACAGAGATTGTCACTTTTGTCAATTCTGCTTACCTTCACTTCAAACTTGATTATTATTTATTTTAGGTTTCTCACTGTTTTCTCTGCCTCACCTTAGCTGCTGACATTTGACACCACGACCAGCGCTGATGCGCCACTCACCACCTGCCTCCACCTGCTGTACAAGCAGGCTGAGCGCCGTGGCCCACAGGTTACAGCATTTGCTAGTCTAATAAGAAACCACAACACTTAGCGATGCAGTAAAACCATTTGTTTTTTTGTCCTGTTTTCACTGAGTCTTACTGGCCTTTACATGTCTGAACAGGGGGGCCAGGTTCGCTTTAGCACAATCCCCAGAAAAGCCGACATCCTGGTGGAACTGGGTCCTGTGAGATCTGAGCTGGACATCAGCATCGTGGACAGACTCAACTCACTGCTGCAACCTCAGAAGCTGTCGACCACAGAGATGATGGCCTCCCATATGTACACATCCTATAATAAACACGTCAGCTTGGTAAGGAACTAATGAATAACATTTTCTTTAGAAGAACAGACTCTCAAACATGTATAATCACAATAATAATATTTAAAAAAAAAACATTTTATTCAAATTGATTTTTATCAGATGCTGCTCATATGGTGTTTCTGTTTCTCAGCATAAAGCCTTCACAGAGGTTTTCCTGGATGATAGCCACACTCCCACCAACTGTCACGTATCACTGACTGTCAGCGCACCACTGCTGGGCCTGGCAGTCCGGTTCCCCATCCCTGACCTCCGCTCCGATCAGGAGAGAGGCCCTTGGTTCAAGAAGTCCCTGCAGAAGGAAGTGCTTTATCTGGAGTTTGAAGATCTGGAAATGAAATCAGAGTTCGTGGGTGGTGGATCTGTACAGACCAAGATGGAACTGGTTTTCAGAGACCTCACTGGTATGTGGACCAAACAGACTTGTCTTTCAGTTATTTGTTTTTAATATATATTAATGCAGCCATTCTTAAAACTTTTTCATATTTCAACAGGGAAGTTCCAGGAGGAGCTGGATGAAGCAGCAACCCGATTCCTCACGGTGTCCCACACCATGGACGGAGACATGGCCACATCTGAAAGTGTCAAATTTGACTGGCCCAGGTATGTTTCTTTAAACTTCCTCAAACAGAGGATTTCTTCACAGGTCAAGCTTTAAAAATATTTTTTATTTTCTCTTTGAGCAGAATTGTGCTCAAGATGAACCCCACCGCGGTCCACTCCATCCTGGAGCGTGTGACGGCAGAAGATGACGAGGGTGCCGAGGATCATTCTCTGGAGGAGGAAGAGGAGGAAGGAGCTGCTCATTCGCTGAAGGACGTGTGCGACTTTGGCAAACCAGAGCCGTCGCCTTTTTCTTCACGCAGGGTCATGTATGAAAATGAAGAGGTGGGTCGTGGTTGAAGGGTCAATATTACCCACAAACAGAGCTCTGTATCATGTTGTTACTGATAATGCCAATGTGTTATTCATTTTAAAATTTTGTTACTGATAATGCCAATGTGTTATTATTCATTTTAAAATGAAGTTAAAAAAGGTTAATTGTAATCTTCAAATTTTTTTTAAATTCCAGATGATAATTCCTGGTGATGTTGCAGAAATGACAGAGTTCCAGGAAAAAACCATGAACAACTCACGGTTCATCCTTGAGTTGTGTTTCCCTAACGTGCAGTTGGTTCTACCCAACAAGGCGTTTTATGAGAAACTATACAACAGGTATGAAATAAATAATTATGTTTTAAACTACTTAAATGAATTAATGAAGCTTAAACAATAGAAATGCTAAAATTTAGGGTTTTATTTTATGCTGTTTACATAATTGTTTCCCAAAGACTGGGTCACGACCCTTAGGTGGGTCGCAAGTGTTTTTTGGGGTTTTTTTTGGGTCTTCTCGCTTCATGTTTCCCAGGAGTTTACAAAAAATGTCTATTGTCTTGGGTCGCAAAGGTTTGTGACTTTTAAAATATGGGTCCCCAGAAAAAAAAGTTTGGAAAACACTTGTCTACATCATAAACTTTCATCTCATGTCTTTGTTTCACTGCTAATAGATATTATAATATATACTGTATATAAATATTCTTGTGCTATTGATTATATTTATATTTAATTCAACCTGGAACTTTCCTTTGTCTAAAATTAAATGTGGATAACATTTCAGGATCAATAATGACCTGCTGCTGTGGGAGCCCACTGCTCCTTCTCCTGTGGAGACGGTTGACAGTATGCCATACGGAGTTGGCCTCTCAGTTGCCAGCCAGTTAATCAACACTTATTCCAAGGACAGCTTCAGCCAGTTCCGCTCTGTTGGAACTGAGGGTGAGCCAGCGAAAATTACTGAAATTTGATTTTTGGAGAAATACAATATAACGCTGTGTAAGTGGAACTGTTTTGATGACCTCAGAGACTTATTTCCTGCTCTGTTTTAAGAAGACACCAGTGGCTCGGAAGAGGAGAACCTGCACTATTACTCTTCTGCCTGTGACCCGGGGATGAGGTCTCGCAAGAAGAGGAAGCACAAATCTCACAGCAAGACGTCCCAGAGTCTTTTCTCTGTCATCCTCACTGTCAATCATGGCTTGGTAGCTCTTCAAACTAATGCTAAGGTAATTTCACATTAGATCAGGGATCTCACACTCAAATGAGCCACTGTTGCCCCTGACATCCCATCAGAGGACCAAAAACCCAGAGCAGGAGCTCAGATGGCATTATAGGACATCTAATTGTGGGCGCAGATGAAAGATTTATGGAATGAAAATGGCCTGCGGGCCAGGAGTTTGAGACCCCTGCATTAAATTCTAATGTTAGTTCTCAGCCACGTGTTAAACTGTGGATCTTTTATGTTTTCCAGAAAGAGGACAAAAGTGTAATTAGAAACAAACACGGCGAGTTCTGGCTGGAGGTGAAGAATGCTGTGCTGTTTTGTGTAACACAGTACGAAGGCTACAAAGACCAGCACTACATTTGCTTTCACACTGGTAGTGTCTGCCTGTACCACCAAGGTAACACCAGATGTCACTGTGGTTCTTGTTCTCCAGTGTGAATCTGTTGATAATGTGAAAGTTGCTCTGACACACAGTTGTTCTTGTCTTCCTCTCAGGTCTGTTGGATGGCGGTCCTTCGGTCTTGGATATAAAGTTGCCATGCAGGACACATCCACATTGGTTGGAGCCGACCATCTACCAATCAGAAACATCTTCTGAGAGATCATCGACGCCCTCGGAGAGTATCGGTCTGGAGGCCCGCAGCATGGTGTCTGTCGCTGTCAAAGTCTTATCGCAGAATGCGGAGCGCATTGTTAAGGTAGGGAGCTCATTCACATGGTTACAGTTATATGTTAGAGTTTATATATTTTTATGGAACCAGATGGAACGACTGAAACAAAAAAGATCGCAACCTTTACTGACTCGTGACCCCATTTTGACATCACAAATTACTGGCAACCCCAGGGACATTTTAGTAGTTGTCACTTGTGGAGTCACATGATCGCAGCCATCAATCAAGATGAGCCAGCTCAGATATTTACTGTATATATGCTACATTTTATTTGAACTGGATTTATATTCAAGAAAGAATACAGTTGTTAAATATTATGTGTGGAGTTTTTAATCATAATTTTAAACAGAATAATACTTTGTCAAAAAAACATTTTTTTGTAATTTCTTATCAATTATTAATTACCAGACATTTCAGACGACCCTATTTGAATTTCATATGACCACATTTGGGGTTGTGACCCCAACATTGAAGCTTTAATGGCTGTGGATCAATGTCTCTGTGTCTCACAGTAGAGATACACCACAAAGAACATTCCTCCATTGTCAGCAGTCGACAATAACATAAACAGATCATATTACCGGATCACATACACGTGGCCTGTAATTAAGTTTGGTTTTGATTGGTGCTGACTCTAATGGTGTGTGTGTGGATACAGGAATATCTGGTTGCAATTGGAGTGAGAGGAGCCACGCTTCAGCACAGAGTCGTTCCTCCCAGTCTGGGTTGGTACGACCAGGTAAGACCATGTTTCCAGACGTGTAAATTTGGAGTTGTGTCTAAAAAATTATATAGTAAGGCTCGTCACCACTGCTGCCTTACAGATAGTCGACTTCCTGAACGTTTGTGACGAGCCTGTGTTGGGTTACGCCCCTCCCACATCTGTCACCACTCTACATCTACACCTGTGGAGCTGCTCTCTAGACTACAGGTAAGGAATATTTCAAATCATCATCTGATGCCACAGTGAAATGTTCTCCTGGTATTTACTTCTTATGTGGCCCATGTTGTTCTCGACAGGCCCCTCTACCTGCCAATCAGATCACTGCTGGCCGTGGAGACGTTCAGCATCTCCAGCAGCCTCTCTTTAGATCATTCTTGTTCGACACTCAGGTGCTAGACGGATTTCTTCATAGATGCTGATACAAGTACAACAAGAGTGTTGTGTTGTAATGATGTGTGTGTGTGTGTGTCTCTGTGTGTTTGCAGGATTATTTTAGACGAAGCTGCTCTGTTCCTCTCTGACAAGAATAATGCCCTGTCTGTAAATTTAGCCCGAGGTAAGTTGATTTGATTTATGTTTTTTTTTAACTACAACAGTGATGTAAAATGGAGCTGCATTCAATAGTTGTGTGTGGTTTACTTCGCAGACTACGTCCAAGTGGTGGACATGGGAACACTGGAGCTGAGGATTACGGCCGTCAAACCAGGATCAGATGGAAAACTGGTGGGATATTTTAACCTGTGAACGTTGATGATATTTTCTGAGGAACAATGATCTCTCGTGTCTTCATCTGTTTTCATTTGTCTGCCGGTTGTTAGTTGGAGCCCAGATTTGAGCTGCGATGTTCCAGTGATGTCATTCACATCCGTACCTGTTCTGACTCCTGCGCCGCCCTCATGAATCTTATCCAGTACGTAGCCAGCTACGGTGACCTGCTGCCCCCAGCAGAACCAGAGGCAAAGCACAGCAGCACTTCACAAAAATCCAAGGTCAGTAGTGACTCCTGTCCTGAGAGATCAGATAACAAACAGACGGCTTTAAATCTGGGAAAATCTGGAGGCACCTGCAGTAACCTTGTTGTGATTGAATCTCACTTTCTTGATGGTTTATTATTGTGTGAAAATGTTGGACTTGTTCATAGAAATGTAGATTTCATGTGAGACTGAGATGATTCAGTGACTTGTTCTTAAATGGTTTCATTTACTTGAACTCAAGCCTCAACAGGACAATATTTTAGACTTTACAAATCAAGTGAATTCTTGATTCCGTTCCGACCGAGGTGAACCTGAAAGCCACCACATAATTTCTGCTTTTTCAGTTATACCATTAGTTACAGACAGTTTTCCAGAGACATGAGCTTGGGATCTTACACTTTGATACATCTCACCACGGTCCAAGGTTGACATGTATGAACCTTTTGAGGCTGCGTTGTTGCCTAGTCTGAGTGTATTATTGTACAGGCGGAGTTTCCGAGTAGAACCGCATCTCAGACTCCTCTGCTCGCTGAAACTGAGCAGCAAATTTTGCAGGACCTGATGAGCGAGGCCATGGAGGAGAACGACGGGCAGCACACACTGGGCTCCCAGCAGAACGGTGAGGACTTTATTCTCATCCCATTCTCGCCATTGCTTGACTCTATGAGTGAGGGTGAGATCTCAACTCTTGACACGTCTGCAGGTACACACGAGGTTAAGAAACATGACCGTGAAGCACCACACTCTGACCTGTTCCTGTTCCCAGATGAGAGTGGGAATATAATTCAGAGTCCCACTTACCCCATTCTCCACTCTCCTCTCATCACTCCTGTTCCAAACCTGACCCAGGAGACTGATGACTTTTGTATCCTGGAAACACCTGGATCTGGGGGACAGGTTTGGATGTTTTTAATCACACAGCTATATTTGCATAATAGTTATTTCATGTTTTTTAATCAAGACTTTTGTTTTGCGTCACTGTTTCAGGATCATGATCAGGAACCAGTGGTCAAACTGCTGTCGTCAGGGCCAGTAGAAATCAAAGAAGACTACTTCAGTCAGCCCCTGGGTGGGAGTGATTCTTCCAGGGGAGCAGTGAACTTTCCCATACCAGAGGTCCGCTACCTCATCAAGGAGATCTCCGTCATCTGGCACCTCTACGGTGGGAAAGACTTTGGTGCTACAGCCTTCACGGTTTCTCCTGCCAAAAGCAGAGGGTGAGGAATGGAACTCTTTGGAACTTTTTTTGGATGTGCTGAAAGGTATCTGGACTTTTGTCATGTGGTTGTTCTGTCTCTGCCCTGCAGGTCCACACCACACAGTTCGCCTTCTCAAACTCCTGTCAGGCGGTCCAGCAGCGCTTCTGGACGGGCAGGAGGGGGAAGAGGACGAAACCCTGACGTCCTGATGGAGATCCAGCTCAGCAAGGTACAGATACTTCTGAGATTATCATTGAAGTCACATCGCAGCATACAGAATAAAACGGTGGTTTTCAACCTTGGGGTCGAAACCCCACTTGGGGAAGCATGGATTTCAAATGGCGAAATGATTCGCCAATTTCAATTCACCTGAAATGTTGATTAGAAATTGATTACCAAAAAAAATTACAGGTAAAATATTTTTTCAACTAATTATTATTCTTTTTTAAAATGTTAAAAAACACACAGTCTTAAACAATTGTGTTCTTACACTTTCATGAATATAAATCAATTTCATATAAAATTCAGCATATTAAAGCACCTGAGCTGGTGCATCTTGAGTGACAGCTCACAAGACAGGCTCTTCTGTACATGTGGTCAGGGAAAATGAAATGTCACTCAGGGGTCACCAGTAAAATCTCTGTGTGGTTTCTTTCACTATTCACTGACTCTTTTCTTTTACCCCAGGTGAGGTTTCAACATGAGGTGTACCCACAGACCCAGGGCTCTTCAGGGTCAACGGTGGACCATGCTGTCTCGCGGCAGGTGTTCATTGTGCAGGATTTGGAGATTAGAGACCGACTGGCTACATCACAGATGAACAAGTTCCTTTATTTGTACTCTAGCAAAGAGATGCCTCGCAAAGCCCATTCCAACATGGTGAGCCTCAGCTTTAACCACCACATTTAACCAGAAGACTGTCAAGTCTAACTTTTAAATTATTATTTTTTTGCTTGTAGTTGACAGTGAAGGCCCTGCACATGTGTCCAGAGTCCGGTCAGGCTCCTCAGGAGTGTTGTCTCCGTGTCTCCCTCATGCCTCTCCGTCTGAATATTGACCAGGTAGGGGACAGTGTTAAAGATAAGGCACACACACCATCCTCAGACATATTTAAGTTGAAGTTACATTGTTATCTCTTTTCGTCTGTAGGATGCGCTGTTCTTCCTAAAAGACTTCTTCACCAGTCTTGCGACAGAAGTTGAGTTTTTCTCACCAACTGCCCAAGAAGGTAAAACAGATTATCCACCCAAAAAAAAAAAAAACATTTGTGTGCCCATAGTTCTACTTCCTTTTTTACTTTTTTGTCTGCTGTGTGAAAGTACAATTGTTGCTGCTCAACAAAGCATCAAATAGAAGTAGGTTCTTTGTCATGTAGTAGTCTCAGACATGGCAGTATGTTTTTGTGTGTATGGCAGTGGTTCTTTTTTTTGCAGCGCCCCCCTTCTGGACATAGATAGGACTGTTGTTTTATTTTAACTAAAAGCTAATTTTTTTTTCTCTTAGCTTTCTGTGTGTCTACAAAAAAATCTGCTGGTCCCGAGATCTCCTGCAACTTCTCCAAACACGCCGGCAGCAGCCAGGATCCTGCACCAATCATCTCTGTTCCTGCTCGTAGACGTCTGAGTCATAATGGCTTTGTTTCATCGGGGAGAGAGGAAGTGACCGACGGAGAAAGCTCGGCTCAATCTTTCAGAGATCAGCCGATCTTCTTCAGGTAACTTAAAAAAAAAGCAATGAAACTTTTTTTTTTAATTTTATTTTGAGTTTGAGGTAATATTTGCTTTCACCACTAGGGAGTTTCGATTTACATCAGAAGTTCCTATTCGCTTAGACTACCATGGGAAACACGTATCCATGGAGCAGGTACGTGACATTAAAATACTTAATTTGAATTTCAGCATTTTGATGTTGAAGCTATAGTGATAACTGTGAGATACTTTTTTTAGGGAACGTTTGCAGGAATCATTATTGGACTGACGCAGTTAAACTGCTCCGAGCTGAAGCTGAGACGGTTGTGCTACAGACAGGGGTATGTTTTAGTTCCCCCAGTAAAAAGGCAATGTTTTTTGTATTTTTGTTTTTATATATATAAACCCATCTTTTATCTGTGTTTGTTTTCCAGGTTACTGGGTGTTGATAAGCTCTTCTCCTATGCAATAAATGAATGGATTAATGACATAAAGAAGAACCAGCTCCCAGGTCTGCTGAGTGGTGTGGGACCCATTCACTCTGTGGTGCAGTTGGGTGAGTTTATGATCTGATTTAAAAAAAACATTCATGACATGCAGGTAGATCTCACTGGTTTGTCCTGTTCTTAAAATGATGATTTGTGTTTAGTCCAGGGATTCAGAGACCTGGTGTGGCTCCCCATTGAACAGTACAGGAAAGATGGTCGGATAGTTCGAGGATTTCAACGTGGCACCGCTTCCTTCGGCACTTCTACTGCTATGGCCGCCCTGGAGCTGACCAACAGGATGGTCCGGACCATACAGGTGAAACTCCCTATAGAACGGAGATCAATCATCACATGCACTTTTTCATTTCATAGAAAGAACTTTATTGGAAGTTCAGCCTATTGTAACGTCACTTGTACAAAAACAAATATCTGCGAGTACTTTCTTTGTGAATACTGTATCCTTTTTTTATCCACTTCATCTACCTTCATAATTAAGTTATTTTAAGCTGCTCACTCAGGGCATTTACATATTTACTCTGTAGCCAATCAGAGAATCTCTCTGATTCTCACATATTTACTCTGTAGCCAATCAGAGAGGATATTCTCTCTGATTCTCTCTGTGCACTGCAGAGTCACATGGCCTAATTTTTAAATATGCTGAACAAACACATTTATCCATTTATCCTCATCTTTCTCAGGTCGGGGCAGTCGGCTCGAGCCGATTTTAGCAGTCATTGGGTTGAGGGTGGCGTACATGCGGGGCTATAATCCAGTCCATGACAAGGTCATATATAGACACAAACATCCACTCACACTAATTTATAACCACGGGCTGTTGAGCGCAAACCATCAGGCAAATCCCCATTTTTGCATGTTTGTGAACTTTGGAAGACAAAACATGAGGCGAACGTACAGAGACTGTGATTTAGGTAAAATGCAGTTTCGTTAAAAATGTCTTTGGGAGCGTCCTTCAGTGACATGGTTTGGTCTGGCTACAGGCAGCAGCAGAGACGGCCTACGACATGGTGTCACCAGTGCCCGATGAACGAGAAACCAAGAAGATAAGACGATATTCTCCTTATGGACTCTCTCACCAGCCTGTGGACCTGAGGGAGGGCGTGGCCAAAGCCTATACTGTGGTCAAAGAGGTAGGTGTTGCCTGTATTTGGTTCTGTATTTAAAAAAAGTTAGTGGTTAGGAAAGGCGTGGGCAAACGTTTTGACTCGCGGCCCACGATGGGTCCTAGGAGCAGATAGATGCAGCGTTAAGGTAAATGACATGTAAAAGTCATGCATAAAGGCTAAAATGCTAAAATGCTTTTAGCCTTTTCTATGCCATCTATTGGGGAGCTACAGTCATTGCAGCAAAAAGGCATAAGTATAATGATAATATAAATTAATAACATTATTTGGACAAATTTGGCAGCCTGGATTACAAAGGCAAATGGGCCACATCTGGCCCCCAGGCCTTAGGATTTGACACAGATGGTGTTTGTCGTTCCACAGGGGATCACAGACACTGCACTGACCATCTATGACACGGCCACACGGGAGCACGAGCAGCGTGGGATGACGGGGGCCGTGGGTGGAGTCCTGCGCCAGCTGCCGCCAGCTGTTATCAAGCCCCTGATCATGGCCACTGAGGCCACCTCAAATGTTCTGGACGGGATGAGAAACCAGATTCACCCTGACGCACGGCAGGAGGAGACGCAGAAGTGGAGGCAGGGCGAGGAGTAAATTTTGCCGCCGTGAACTGGAAACAACGATTGCACAAAACTCAAGAGCTGATGGAAACAATTAGGACCTGTGTGTAAATAAAATGCTCATCATCTCATCGCAATTTGAACTCCTGTCGTTCCGCTTCTGTCGGCTCACCAGTCCTGTCATAGTGCCTTCATGGCTGTCAGCGCATCAGTCCGGCTGTGAGTCGATTCAAAGCTGTTGTTTAAAAATGAAGAGCTAGTGGGTCACATGGACTGTCTGAGAACTACCGTGTGCTGTGAGGTCACACTCCTGCATCATGAGGCACAAAAATGTTGTTCTTCAAACTGTTTTGTTTACATGTTGATTTTTACATAATTTACCTGTTAATGAAAGGTACTAACACATATGTTTATTGACTCTTAATTAGTCAATTAAGGGTGTTAATTTATTTGGAGTAGACTTTATGTGGGCTTTATTATTTACTGTAAATGATCCTCTGGTGTAACATTTCATAAAACTGTAAGAACAAAGACTTGATGACCGAATGTCACAGATGTGTAAAGTTTTGTTTCCCCTGAGGTTGTGAGGAGATTAACTAGATTTTAAGTTAATTTAAACTGTGTTCACAGAACCTGTGATTATAGCATTTTAAAAACAGTTTCAATGGTTTGTGCTGCTTTAACTTTACTAGACTAGAACAAATGTTGAGGGAAACTGTCATGTCATATTTTAAGGCAGAATTCTCATATCCTGCTTCAAATTCTCTATGTGTGTCCGAAATACTGTCGTGGTTCAATATTGCCGATATTTCATTTGCTTGTTTTTCTGTGTTTTTGTGGAAGGAATATGTCGTTGTACATATGTGTACAGTTTTGAATTTGTATTAAAAGCATGAAAGGGAATTAAAAGCTGTTGCTCATGCCGTGGCCAGGGGTCTGTTTGCTGTCAGATTTGTCTTAGATCTAAATGCATTTTGTTGCCTATTGTTTGAGAATGTCAATCATGTTGTTAAAATGCTGTTTGTTAAGGAGAGGAAATGTTACGACTTCTGAGAAAGAGAAAGGAATTGTGACTTAAATTCAAAACGATTGTGTTTTGTCTTAGATCTGGTTTTATCAAATTAAACTCAGATATATTAATCGGTTATAAAAGGGAAGTGTGATTTCGAATTTTGATGTCATGAAGCCATAACTACGCCCTAACTTTTTAAAATGAAATAACCTGACCTTTTGGAATCGACTCGATTTAACCGTAACTTGTTTTGGTTGTCATGGCAGCAGGACACAGCTAGTCTGTTGAACAATAATTATGGTGCACATCACCTGAGCTTCTTGTCTTGTGACATCGGTAAAGAGGAGAGGAAGTTACTTCATCTCCTTGGACGCGCGACCGCTGTTCACGTCTGCAAACTCACGCGCTCAGTCCTCTAAATTTACTATCAAACAATGACATGAATAACTGATTTAAAAAGAAATTAAACGCTGCTTCTGCTGTTGCTGTATTCGAAGCTCAATGGGGCGTGACCCTTTTTTTTTACCAGTAGAGGGCGATAACTTCCGGGAAAACGGTTGGTTCTCTCCCGCATGGAAATGAGAGGCATCAGACATCACACACGAAAGTGTCCACCAGAAAACTCGAGTCTGCAGGTACACTGATTTATTTCATCCCGTAACACTTTTAAGACATATTATTCTTTATTCATTTTTTGTTTCTTTCTAATTTCTCAACATGTTTCCATCCTCACCAATTCCAGTTAAAAACACTATTCAACTATGAGTGAAAATAATTCCCACACTGTTGAGACTGCGCCATTTGACTGCACCTTGGATCTACACTGAGACAAAATGTTTATTCTGCATGTGTTTGCTCTTCAGTGAAATATCCCCACATCAACATGGAGTGTTTCTGTGACAATGGCAGATGTGTTCCTCTGCTGTCTGCCCTCTCACCTCCCTGAAGTCTGTGCTGACCTCTGCCCACACCTGCCAAAACACTGGCTGGCGTGCAGCTTCATCTCTGCTGTGCCCGTCACCAGGTAAACATCAACCCCACCACCCACCACACACACACCCACAG